TGGGCGCGCTATCGCATCGTCTGGGCATTGTGCCTTCGTGTATATCTATCCTATGATAGTTGGTTTGAGCTTAGCGGGAGGATTCTCCTAGTTTGAAGACCTTCGAAATAAGGACCCGAGCGCGCCGGCATGCTCACGTCTACGTGAGTCCGCTCTGCGCGGTACGCTCCCTTGTCTAATCGTCCAATGCGCGTTTTATAGTTCCGGCATGCTGCTCCTATCCACCCTCGTTGATCTCCCGCATCTCGCCTCGCCCCTATCGAGTCCCGCATGCCAGACTTTTCAACCGCTAGCCCTTATGCATCGAGCATATCTGGTCCATTTGCGACGGCGCCTGAGGAAGCCCTACGCCCGTTGAGGAGGAGAGGAGAGGAGGAGAGAGAGTGGAGCATTAGTATGAGAACTGTGAAGCCCGATGAAAAGTGGAAAGAGTTCAAATAGGTCAAGGATAAGAGACCTCGAGGAGATAAAGTGAAGATTAATATAAAATGCAAAGAGGACCTCAAGGAGAAAGAAAAGAGCTTTTGGGGGGTTTCTTCCGTAGGGTTCACCGAGGGCCTGTTATTAATAGGCGGAGAGGGGGAAGAAGAATGAGAATGCCTGGAAAACGGAAGCCAAAAAAACATAATTCATTTTTTTAAAATAAAAATAAATCTCAAAACTAGGTCTATAATATATAATTAATTTTATACTTTAGTTTTAACTTTGTCTCAGCGCAATTGTTCCTTATTTTAAATCATAAATAATTTGAATATTTATGTAAACTAAAAATAATTATTTATATTTGGTTCCTTATATGAGGATTTTGAGATAATTGAATCACCATGTCGAAATTACTCATCGATATGACCGCCCACATCAAATTTCTGTTAGCATTAAAATGTTTATTATAACATTTTGGTGCCTCATAACTGTGGATTGATGAATTATTTTTTGCTTGTGAATTCTCCTCAAGCCCGCTCGCATATCCAACTATAAAGATAATATTTGGATTGAAGATCCCTGGTCACCCATAAGTAAGTTTTAAGTTCAATCAAATTTTACGTGTTAGCGTGACTTTTGAATTCATTGATGAATAATCATTTTTACTTCTCATGCTTTTTTCATTAAAGTATAAGATGCGGCACAACTATTTGTGAATTTGTTAACATTTTTTGAAGTGAATGCTCAATAACTACATTGCGTGAAGCATTGCTGCCAGCTTATAACTCGGATGAATTCAAATTAGTGTAAGAACAAAGAAGTTCTCATTGATCGAATAGAAGGAAAAGGTCTATGATGATAGGATCAGCATGATACCAGTCATTAGGGATCAATAGTAGGTAATTTATACCATGTAGTCATCATGAATTAATTGATCGGGCTACGAAATCTCGAGGCAAAACCCAAATAGTGGAATACTTTAAAAAATTAATTCGGAGACCATCCGAACTCTTGATTTCAGCAAACTTATAGCGAACTTGAGCGTCTCCGGAAAATACTGACCCAACGACACCAAATTTAACTCGATCCGAGCCCAATGGGGTGCCGAATTCATTGGACCCGAAGCGTTTTGGAAGTTCAAACCGCAATTTGAGTTACCAAACGGACTCGAATTTGACTAGCTTATACTCGAATCCGAACGGCGACTGAGACAAAATCCAACGAGCCCAAGATCACTGATTCCGACATCACAAGGCCCCTAAAAGTACCATCGAACGGTGCTTGATCGTAGGATCTCAATATTTGGTCGTCCATTCAACCACTCCCTATCGCCCAGGAGATCTCACCACCTATTTACGGCTCATGGCCACTCAGAAAATTCTATTAAATAGAGCCCTCATTCTTCACAAAGAGTGGAGGGTCAAGCAAGAAGAGAAGGGAGGAGAGGTAGAAGGAAGAAGGAATGAAGCTTTCCTTCTTCGACCACCGCCGGAACCTCGTTCGGTACACCGCCTAGGATGGCCTCGTCGTGAAAACCCACCGACGGAGCCTCGACGGACCACCGCCGTGAGCCTCGCCGATCACCGTTCTGGAGGCCTCGCCCTTGGACCACCGCCGGATGTTTCGCTCGCTACCACCATCTCAAGCCCGACGGTTCAGGCCGAACGTGCTACTGAAGCTTGACATCAGGCCCAACGTTACTGCTCAAGGCCCAATCCGACTTTCGGTACCTGCGTCCTCATCTAAGGGCCCTCACCTCTCCAGAATCCTTCACCCTTCGCCAGAGTCTCCTCTACCTTTGCTAGAGGCCCTTGTCTTTCGTCAGGAATTATCATCATTAAGGACGTATGGCTCCACTAGAACGATCACATGAGGCTAGTCAATCTTCGTCAAAGCCACTCACCAACACCTGAGGCCTTCACCTATCACCCTTGAGGGCCCTCACTTACCAGCGGCCTTTCACCCCGACAAAGGCCCTCACAACACTTGAAGGCCTTTCACCTTCACCTGGAAGGCCCTCCACCTTCGCAGAGGCCCTCATCTTCGCCAAAAGGCCTCTGCCTCGCGTAGACTACCACCTGACGCCGTGCTTATGTCAGAGAACACCACCTGAGGCCTGGACTTCTGTCTGGGGCCACTACCTGACATTCCAGAGTTCTACCAACAGTACGCCCTTACTACAACGCGTCCTTCTAACCCTGTCGCCTGCCTATACTGGTCGCTCCGACCTCCATCTACCAGACAACGGTTTTTCAGGACCCAGTCTCTATCCGACTACGGTCCTCAGGCCTTCGTCGCCACTATGCGTCCTCCGACCTTCCATCAACAGTGACAATGGTCTTTCTGACCGCTGGTCTCCTGCCGACTACGCGTTCCTTTCTGACCAGGCAAAAAAATGTAATGTAAATTCCTAAATATGTAATGCAATCTGTATGATGTACATTTGCTTACTCAATCCATAGGCCTTTCCCAAGAAGAGCCTCATTGTACGACTTACATAATTCTAGGTGGGATTCATTCCAAACTAGGCCAGGCCCCGTGGTTTTTTCCCCCTTTTCAGGGATTTTCCACGTAAAAACTCTGGTGTCTCTTATGAATGTTTCACCCCATCTCTTATCTGCTTGTGTGCTGGATCTTCGTACAATGCTAAGACGTTAAAACATATATTTCTCTACCGTCACGAATATTCCAGGACGCAACAATACCCTATCGAAATAAGTTGTTAGATAATTTCATTTACTAGAGGAGATGAATCATGAAAGTTTTGTTAAGGATTAAATTAATATTTATCATGCATAGGGAATTTTTCTTGGACAAAATATTGCAACATATCTCTTCTAACCTCATGAGGGGCGCCCATAAAATGATTTTGATCTATGTCCTCCATGATTGGTGGAGGATTACAGGTTGGTCCAATAATGTGGGGATGATATTTTGAATTAGTTATGTTGGAGAGAATTTGATAAGCTTGCGGAGAAGAAGGT